CACTATTTTCTCATTCACTTATTCACATTGATAAAACTATAGAGATGGATAATAGATTAGTGGTTGCTAGGGGTGAAATGGAGGGCAAAGGGAGTAGACTACAAAGAGACAGCAAGAAGGATCTTTGTGGTGATGAAACAGTTCTGTATCTTGAGCATGGCAGTGGTTACGCAAATTTACACATGGTAAGATTGCACACAACTACACACGCACGTGTATAAAACTGACAAAATCTGAATAAGGTTTGTGGATTGTAGCAATGTCAATTTCTTGGTTTTAATATTGTACCAGAGTTATATAAGATGTTATCATTGGGGAAAACAGGATCTTTCTACTATTTTTCCAACTTCCTGTAAATCTATAATCATTCTGAGACTCCTTCCTATTTGCAAGGCACCAGGGTAGGTATTGGGAGCATAAAAGAAAATAAGGCCAGGTGTGGTGACTCATGCCTGTAATTCCAGCACTTTAGGAGGCTGAAGTGGGTGGGTTGCTTGAGTCCAGGAATTCGAACCAGCCTGGGCAACGTGGCAAAACCCTTTCTCTACCAAAAAAAAAAAATACAAAAATACAAAAATTAGCTGAGCATGGTGGCGTGTGCCTGTGGTCCCAGCTACTTGGGAGGCTGAGGTGAGAGGATCACTTGATCCCAGGAGGCAGAGGCTGCAGTGAGCCGAGATCGTTCCACTGCACTCCAGCCTGGATGACAGAACAAGACTCTATCACAAAAGAGAAAAAGAAAAGAAACAAAAAGAAAATAAAACAAAACCGAATATTGTAACAGTGCTGAATGTTTCAATCAATGAACATAGTATATCCCTTCATTATTTTTAATTTCTCTCAGCAATGTTTTATAGTTTTCAGTGTATGAGTCTTAAATGTTATTTATTAGGTGTATCTCTATGTACGTGGTGCTTCCAAACCGTTACTTGTATATAGAAGTACCTTTGATTCTGTGTCTTGTATCCAGTGATTTTGTTAGTTATTTAATTTTAATAGTTCAGATTCTGCATACACAATCAAGTGATCTGCAAATAATGACAGTTTCTTCCATTCCAATCTTTTATTTCTGTTTCTTGCCTTATTCATACTGCCTGGGACCTTTGGCATGATGTTGATTAGAAGAGGTGATAACAGACATACTTGTCTTGTTCCTAACCTCAAGGGGAAAGCATTCAACATTTCATCATTAAGAAAAATGTGGCCGGATGCAGTGGCTCACACTTGTAATACCAGCACTTTGGGAGGCCAAGGCGGGCAGATCACGAGATCATGAGATCGAGACCATCATGGCCAACATGATGAAAACCCCATTTCTACTGAAAATACAAAAATTAGCTGGGCATGGTGGTACGCACCTGTAGTCCCTGCTACTCAGGAGGCTGAGGCAGGAGAATCGGTTGAACCTGGGAGGTGGAGGTTGCAGTGAGCTGAGGTCGCACCACTGCATTCCAGCCTGGCAACAGAATGAGATTCTGTCAAAAGGAAAGGAGAGGAAAGGAACGGGACGGGATGGGACAGGACGGGACAGGACAGGACGGGGGAAGGGAAGGGGGAGGGG